GGGGGGGGGGGAGGTTAACGGTGGGGGTTGAGCTGAATTTTGGGATTGGTGGGAAGTTAACGTTGGGGTTTGAACTGAAGTAACGGTGGGTGGGAAGTTAACGGTGATGGTTGAGATGAATTTTGGGATGGGTGGGAAGTTAACGTTGGGGGTTAAGCTGAAGTAGGGGGGTGGGATGTTAACGGTGGGGGTTGAGCTGAAGTATGGGTGGGAGGAAAGTTAGCGGTATGGTTGAAGGAAGGGTGGGTGGGAAGTTAATGGTGATTGAGCTGAAGTAGGGGTTTGTGGGAAGTTAACGGTGGTGTATATCTGAAGTACGGGTGGGTGAACGTTTTATCCAGTGTTCAATCATTCATCTTCTCGGATCTGTAAAAGTCCCCCCCCTCCCACCTCACCAATCACAGGTGACTATAATTGACCAAATGGTCCAACGTGTTTGCTTCATAAAAATGTAAAATTTTAATAATTCGTACAAGACACACCTGCAAACCACAGACGAGAACGTACGACTGAGCTTGTCTTGTCAGGGCCGTCCATACTTTCTCACGTCATTACCACATCAGAAGACAAGTCCCAGTACCAGAACAGCGTAACATTTTATTTCACGTATTTATGGATCATACGGTCGCACAAGAAACAATAATAGTTTAAAACACGACCAGCGCAGCTCGCTAGGGGAACACAATACAACCTTCACACTATTTGGGTTAGACAGCACGGGGGGGGGGGGGGGGAGGGGGGGGGGGGGGGGGGGGGGGAATCAAGGCGTACTCGTAACCCGTCAAGGCAGTACGTCACACCAACATTTCTCTACGTCACACCAACATTTCTCTACGTCACACCAGCATTTCTCTACGTCACACCAACATTTCTCTACGTCTCACCAACATTTACGTCACACCAACATTTCTCTACTCACACCAACATTTCTCTACGTCACAACACCATTTCTCTACGTCACACCACCATTTATCTACGTCACACCAACATTTCTCTACGTCACACAAACATTTCTCTACGTCGCACCAACATTTCTCACGTCACACCAACATTTCTCTACTTCACACCAACATTTCTCTACGTCACACCAACATTTCTCTACGTCACACCAACCTTTCTCTACGTCACACCAACATTTCTCTACTTCACACCAACATTTCTCTACGTCACACCAAAATTCCTCAACGTCAAACCAACATTTCTCTACTCACACCAACATTTCTCTACTTCATACGCTCCACACCAACATTTCTCTACGTCACACGCGCCACACCAACATTTCTCTACGTCACACGCGCCACACCAACATTTCTCTACGTCACACGTGCCACACCGAGATTTCTCTACGTCACACGCGCCACACCAACATTTCTCTACGTCACACGCGTTACACCAACATTTCTCTACGTCACACGCGCCAAACAAACATTTCTCTACGTCACACGCGCCACACCAACATTTCTCTACGTCACACGCGCCACATCAACTTTTCTCTACGTCTTTAAGTACTCGCTAAACTTTGTCGGCCTGGCTGTTATTATGATAAGGAATGGAGCAAAAAAAATTCTCAAGAAATGTGGTTTGGGAAGAAAAAAATTATTAAAAAAAAAAAACTTAAATAGGACATGAACATGACGTGAACATAATGTGAACATAATGTGAACATAATGTATCCAAATGACGTCGAAATCTGAAAGGTCTCGCCAGCGGCTCTAATTATCTTCCCCCTTTCACTCAGGCGCACCAAGATCTTCATGGTTGGTCAAAGTCATCTTCATCACCGCTATAATATTAAGAACGCCGTCCGGTCAAGCAGAAAACGTGTAAATTGCGACACTCGCTCACCTACAAAACCTCTGAACAGTGTGGGGGCCCGTAGCCAGACTTCAAAGAGCGACGACCTTGCGAGCAATCACGAGAGTTTTTTTTTGTTTTGTTTTCCACCCCGTGT